AGGGTCTATTGATGCCGGCTGATGGGGGATCTATTGTGGCTGGAGGGGATCTAGTTTTTGGGGGTCTTTTGTTAATGGGGAGGTCTATTATTGCTGGTGGGGAATATGCTGTTGCTGGGGGGGGGGGGGGGGGTCTTATGTTGCTGGGGGGGATCAGTTGTTGCTGGGAGGATACTACTGTTGAGGGAGAGGTCTATTGATGCTGGCTGCTGGGAGATCTGTTCTTGCTGCTGGGGTGGATGTATTGTTGTAGAAGTCTATTGTTGCTGGGGGGGTATATTGTTGCTGGCTGCAGGGGATTCAAAGTATTTTACTGCTTTTCTTGTTATCATTAACTAATTCCATACAAATTACTTAGCACCACAAAATGATACTTGGTTCTGTATTCTCAAATAGGGGGTGGAACCAAGGGATGGAGCTCAGAGGTGGCTAGGGGGCAGAGACAAGGGGTCACTCTGAAGAGGGGAGTTCCTGTACCTATTTAAAAAAAAAAAGAAGCCCTGTCTATTACCATCTCACATGCACAGTGCCAGATAACTAGGACTGCATTCCAGTCTGTTTGGGTGACAGTTGGAGGGTCTCCTCATTACTTCAGATCTTGTCTTCAGGTCTCCAACCCTAAGACAGATGCTGTATCATTTACAGCTTTCATTGCACATGTTGTTTTGTGTCTGAGCACATTTTTATTTAAAATTACACTTTTTTCACTCCTGACAAAGTCCTTTTATGGGTGAAGCATGTTTAGTTTTGGGATTGGGGTGCTCACTTTTTGATGTGCTTTATATTATCAAGTCATGCAGGGTAAGATTGAAAAATAGTCTGTTGTGGGAGGCAGTCATTAGGATTACCAGTTTTTGGACATAAGTAAGGGAATGTTTCTCTGGAAAACTCATTTTGAATACTCCTACTAGATTTCTTACCCCCTGCATCCACCTGCAGGTTTTGTGCATACAGAGATCGACGCACGGCTCTCACATTGGTTTATCAGTTGTTATTCCACACAGTAGCCTGTAATTAATTTGGTTCATTTATTGGTTTATAGTTCAGATGCTGTATCATCCTTAGGGGCCCCTGAAACTGGCCTTTGCTGCAACATTCATCTATATGAATATATGGGTATGTCTATAAGTAACTATATATACCCGGATATATGTGTACAGTTCTACCAGGACTCCTGTTGGGCCCTTTGCTGATCATATTTGTTTTATAATGAATGGATGTACTAATATTAATCTCTTCTTATATAAAGTGTGTATTATTTCTATAATGGTGTGCATTTACATACATTTGGTTCATACTGATAGTTCCTCTGCTCCCAACTACTTTGATTGACTTTGATTAGGTTAACCTCCCTGGCGGTATTCCCGAGTGTAGCTCGGGGTAAAGTTTCAGTACCAAAAGCGGTAACTCCGAGCTACACTCGGGCTTACCATGTGGCGTTGCTCAGGGATTCCCTGCAGCGCTTACCTTGTCCTTCGCTCCCGCAATGCGTCCCCTGCAGCGTCCCCGCATCTCCTCTGGCCGAATTTCAAGCCCACCTACACCAATCTTATAGCAAAACATTCAGCTATCCCTGCTGCCATTAAAAATGTCCATGGCTAAGCCATAGTCCTTCACAATATAACCATTTGTTTGCAACTCACGCCACCCATTGACATTCATTGAAACTCCACTCTAGCCACCTCAAATTTGAAGGGCAATTTCTAAACTGCGACCGTGCCTTCATTTTTAATATCTCAGAAACATACTATGCATCACAATGTAGGTCTGGGTCTTGTGATTCTCACAATATAAAGCTCTTTGGTTTAGGATTTATAATTTTTAAACTATAATCGTTTGAATATGGCAACCGCCAGTGAAGTGAGCAAGTTGGAGCAGTTTGTTTTTAACTGCTCTTCTCTGCCCTTGCTGTAGAGTGAGTTGCCATAGGAACCCAGGTGTGTGAGCAGGCAGCAGAGTGACAAGCCACTCCACCCAGTTACTCCGCCCACTCCAGTTGTATACTACTGGTGGAGGCAAGAACACTTCACACAATTTCCCCAGAAATTGTAGCTTTTCTAGTATTATATCATGATATTCATTGATTAGATTTTTCATTATGAATTAATTTCTATGCTCACAAATTATTTTGGTACTTATATGCAATACAAAAAAATGCAGAGGGAATTTTTGGACTGAAGCTGAATTTACAAAGGTTTTTTAGAGCACTATGGGTTATACAATGAGACAGATAAGCAGGCAGCATTTGCTTAGAGGCTGTGATTTGTCTACCTCTGACTGAGCTGCCCAAAGACGGATAAATTACTGAGATAAGTCACCTTGTATGTAACTTTTAGCTTGAACTGTTGCTATGCTTTGTAAATGGCAAAGCATAGGAAGGGGGTTGAGGCACAATGACAGACCACAAGAGGCAACTATGCTCACAAGTTCCTGAATCCTCCACTGTGAGATCCTCTTGATACAGCTGAAAATGTGTTAGGAAGGTAGGGCCAGGAGGGCAGAGATTGAGTGAGTCTCAGGTCCTTAAAGAAGTCATCTGTGCTGGTGAAGATGTTTAAATAGTACAGTCTGATTTCTTTCCCCTTAATCAGTAGGTATGCTGACAAAATGGTACTGTGTCAGAAGAACCAGTGTAGTTTAAAGGCCTGAGACATTTGTGCCCACATGTATGCATTCCTGTGCATTTTATGATCAACAACCTTCTTACCTACTGCATGTTATGTTCATTAAACATTTATTTCCTTTCTTCCAAGATAGCAGAGAATACAAGATACATTTACAATGTGTTACTTGCCATGCTCAGTGCTTTCTCACCTATACAATGATTCTATTCAAAGCGTGTGTATAATTAATTTTTGTAATTAATTGATGATAATAAACTCTGGATAAGACTACTCCTTCAATCAATTAATTATGATTCCAGGCAAAGCATAATTCTGTTTTTGGAAGCACTTCAACAAAATTGAGCAGCTCTTATCATTGTTTAACTCTCATGTTTAGGAGAAAGGAATAATGAGTGTCTGCCAACAATAAAAAATGTAGCATTCATTTGTAAAATAATTTCAGTAAATTAGTGATTTGGGATGCACATGTTTTATTGATGCAGTCTTTTCTGCCATAGAGGCTATTTGTGTTCATTTTGATGTACATAATCATGTAGAAAAATACATAATATAGCAGTTCTGTACCTTGATAATTGACTAAATATCTACATAGGTTGTCTCAACAAGGAAAACTGTGGTTTATTTTCAGGACAAATGTAAATTAATGTGTTGCATTTACATACATTTATGTTGATCCAGTAATAATTTAAATACTTATTAAATGAGACAAGATGTTGCATCAGAACTAACCAAGTTTCTGAAAAGATCAATTAGCACAATATAACTGCCCTGGAAGGTACATAACTAAAGTGATAGTACCAAACAGTGAACAAAATGAACAAAATTAGCATTGTACTTACAGTTTATAAATGGATCACTAATGTTTCACTGAGATCAGTAAAATCTGCTTCAAACTGTACTTGCATTTTCATTGCAGGTACAATTAGTTGGTAGCCCCAAACTCCCAGTAGGTCCAGAGGAAGGCAAAAATCCTATAACGCATGGTCCAGTTTGCTCCAAGAGGCACCAAAATAGATTTCTGATCTAATCAGAAGTTCCCTAGATCAGCAATGTACAGTATAGTATTAAGATTTATAAATATTAATAGTCAGTTATAGTCTTTTCCTTCAGAAACATATAACACTTTTTTTTTTTACTAGGCTGGTTAGAACTAACTCCTGAGGATGTCTATTCCACATTTTCACAGTTCTTACTGTGAAGGAGCTTTTCCATAAGTGGATTAAACCTCTTTTCCTCCAGCTGCAAAAAGATCCCCCTTGTCATTTACAATGGTCTTAAAGTGAAAAACTTTGCACCAAGTTCAATCTATAGACCATTTGTGTGTTTATACAAGGTGATCATATTCCCCCTTTTAAACACCTGTTCTCAGTTACTTTACCTCATAACTGAGGTCCTCCATGCCTTTTGGTAATTTTGCTGCTCTTCTCTGCACTTTCTCCTTTTTGTGGACTGGTGCCCAAAACTGAATTGAATATTCAAAATTACTGTATCTCACAGAAGTGAGTACACCCCTCAGATTTTTGTAAATATTTAATTATATCTTTTCATGTAACAACACTGAAGAAATTACACTTTGCTACAATGTAAAGTAGTGAGTGTACAGCTTGTATAACAGTGTAAATTTGATGTACCCTCAAAATAACAACACACAGCCATTAATGTCTAAACAGCTGGCAACAAAAGTGAGTGCACCCCTAAGTGAAAATGTCCAAATTGGGCCCAAAGTGTCAATATTTTGTGTGGCCTCCATTATTTTCCAGCACGGCCTTAACCCACTTGGGCATGGAGTTCACCAGAGCTTCACAGGTTGCCACTGGAGTCCTCTTCCACTCCTCCATGATGACATCACGGAGCTGGTGGGTGTTAGAGACCTTGAGCTCCTCCACCTTCCGTTTGAAGATGCCCCACAGATGCTCAATAGGGTTTAGATCTGGAGACATGCTTGGCCAGTCCATCACCTTTTCCCTCAGCTTCTTTAGCAAGGCAGTTGTCGTCTTGGAGGTGTGTTTTTGGGGTCGTTATCATGTTGGAATACTGCCCTGCGGCCCAGTCTCCAAAGGGAGGGGATCATGCTCTGCTTCAGTATGTCACAGTACATGTTGGCATTCATGGTTCCCTCAATGAACTGTAGCTCCCCAGTGCCGGCAGAACTCATGCAGCCCCAAATCATGACACTCCCACCACCATGCTTGACTGTAGGCAAGACACACTTGCCTTTATACTCCTTACCTGGTTGCCGCCACACACGCTTGACACCATCTGAACCAAATAAGTTTATCTTAGTCTCATCAGATCACAGGACATGGTTCCAGTAATCCATGTCCTTAGTCTGCTTGTCTTCAGCAAACTGTCTGCAGGCAGTCTTGTGCATCATCTTTAGAAGAGGCTTCCTTCTGGGATGACAGCCATGCAGACCAATTTGATGCAGTGTGCGGTGTATGGTCTGAGCACTGACAGGCTGACCCCCCACCCCTTCAGCCTCTACAGCAATGCTGGCAGCACTCATACGTCTATTTCCCAAAGACAACCTCTGGATATGATGCTGAGCACATGCACTCAACTTCTTTGGTCGACCATGGCGAGGCCTGTTCTGAGTGGAACCTGTCCTGTTAAACCACTGTATGGTCTTGGCCACCGTGCTGCAGCTCAGTTTCAGGGACTTGGCAATCTTTGTATAGCCTAGGCCATTTTTATGTAGAGCAACAATTCTTTTTTTCAGATCCTCAGGTCATTATACCAGCTGGAACTAGCAGTGGTGGTGTTTGTGATTACATCCTTGTACCTATTTAAGTAGATGTACAAATACTTATTACAATAAATCTGCAACTTGCACTATGGAATGTATGGAATGTTTGCTTTTCTCTTACATGGCTTAATGCACATGGGGGAGTGAAGATGCCAACAGTGAATCCCTGCTGATGTACTCTGGTGTTCCTGAAGTGCCATTGAACAACCTGTTGCTATGATATGCCATATGGTTCCAAAGCTGGTGATGGAGGATTACTGATAACATGCTGTTATAAGACCACCTGAAATTTGGGGTCTTATGGCTTGGTAAGAGGCTGCAAGTGGTGGCGGTGTTGAATTCACAAGGCTGCTTACTGTCATTCACAAGTGGAAACATATCAAAATATTTGCAATGGTAGTAGAACTTTCGTGCACATAACTGGAGGAAGGATGTGAAAAAGTGGAACTTTCGCTTTTGGGTGAAGTTCTACTTTAATGTGTACTGACTGGTGCATGCTACTTTTTTTAAGGTGATGTAAAAACACATCATCCTTTCAGAAAGCCACCTTGAGCAGTAAAAACATTAGTTTTTTCTGCCTAGATCATAGATGGATAGCTTATAGTTGATATGGGAATAAATCAGTATACTAGTGAAGATAACCTGAGCCAGTGTTAAATGTGGTGGATATCTTGCTGCGAAAATGGAAGTGATCTTCTGTGTTAAACCTACCTGGAGGAGCCCTTACAAAGAAGAACACAACATGCATGGACTAGCCTCCGGACTCCAGTCCCTGTGTACATACAGGAACATGGACATAGAAGCGGGTGGTTTCACTACAGAAGATCACAGTGATATTGTCTACAGGGCATAATACTTCTTTCAGGATTGTAAAGCACAGATACACTTTATTGCCAAAAGTATTGGGACACCCCACCAAATCATTGGATTTAGGTGTTCCAATCACCTCCATGACCACAGGTGTATAAAATCAAGCACCTAGGCATGCAGACTGCTTCTACAAACATTTGTGAGAGAATGGGTCGCTCTCAGGAACTCAGTGAATTCATACATGGTACTGTGATAGGTTGCCACCTGTGAAATAAGTCCATCCGAGAAATGTCCACTAAATATTCCACAGTTAACTGTTAGTGGTATTAAAACAAAGTGAAAGCAACTGGGAACAACAGCAAGGTTAGGCCACATAAAATTACAGAGTGGGGTCAACACATGCTGAAGCGCACAGTGCTCAGAAGTCGCCAACTGTCTGCAGAGTCTAAAGACCTCCAAACTTTGTGTGGCCTTCAGATTAGCACAACAACATTGCATACAGAGCTTCATGGAATAGGTTTCCATGGCTGAGCAGCTACATCTGAGCTTTACATAACCAAGTGCAATACAAAGCATCAGATGCAGTGGTGTAAAGTAAGCTGCCACTGGACTCTAGAGCAGTGGAGACATGTTCACTGGAGTGAAGAATCACGTCTTTCAATCTGGCAATCCAATGGACGTGTCTGGGTTTGGCATTTCCCAGGAGAACGGTACTTGCCTGGCTGCATTGTGCCAAGTGTAAAGCTTGGTGGAGGGGACATTATGGTGAGTGGGGTAACATCTAAACCTCTGGAAACAAAAGTGAGTACACCCCTAAGTGAAAATGTCCAAATTGGGCCAAAGTGTCAATATTTTGTGTGGCCTCCATTATTTTCCATCACTGCCTTAACCTACTTGGGCATGGAGTTCACCAGAGCTTCAGAGGTTGCCACTGGAGTCCTCTTCTACTCCTCCATGACAACATCACAGAGCAGGTGGATGTTAGAGACCTTGCACTCCTCCACCTTCCATTTGAGAATGCCCCATAGATGCTCAATAGGGTTTAGGTCTGGAGACATGCTTAGCCAGTCCATCACCTTTACCCTCAGCTTCTTTAGCAAGGCAGTGGTCGATTGGAGGTGTTTTTGGGGATCGTTATCATGTTGGAATACTGACCTGCGGCCCAGTCTCCGAAGGGAGGGGATCATTCTTTGCTTCAGTATGTCACAGTACATGTTGGCATTCATGGTTCCCTCAATGAACTGTAGTTCCCTAGTGCCGGCAGAACTCATGCAGCCCTAGACTATGACACTCCCACCACCATGCTTGACTTTAGGCAAGACACACTTGTCTTTGTACTCCTCACCTGGTTGCCTCCACACTCGCTTGACACCATCTGAACCAGATAATTTTATCTTGGTCTCATCAGACTACAGAACATGGTTCCAGTAATCCATGTCCTTAGTCTGCTTGTCTTCAGCAAACTGTTTGCGGGCTTTCTTGTTCATCATCTTTTGAAGAGGCTTTCTTCTGGGACTACAGCCATGCAGACCAATTTGATGCAGTGTGCAGCATATTGTCTGGGCATTGACAGGCTGACCCCCCACCCCTTCAACCTCTGAGACCTTGTAACACTAACGAGTCACATGACACCAGGGAGTAAAAATAGCTAATTGGGCCCAGTTTGGACATTTTTACTTAGGGGTGTGCTCACATTTGTTTCCAGTGGTTTAGACATTAATTTCTGTGTGTTGAGTTATTTTGAGGGGACAGAAAATTTACACTGTTCTACAAGCTGTACACTCACTACTGTACATTGTAGCAAAGTGGCATTTCTTCAGTGTTGTCACATGAAAAGATAGAATAAAATATTTACAAAGATGTGAAGGGGGTTTACTCACTTCTGTGAGATTATATATATACAGTGGGGATCGAAAGTTTGGGCACCCCAGCTACAAATTTGTATTAATGTGCATAAAGAAGCCAAGGAAAGATGGAAAAATCTCCAAAAGGCATCAAATTACAGATTAGACATTCTTATAATATGTCAACAAAAGTTAGATTTGATTTCCATCATTTACACTTTCAAAATAACAGAAAACAAAAAAATGGCGTCTGCAAACGTTTGGGCACCCTGCAGAGTTAATATCTTGTACTGCCCCCTTTGGCAAGTATCACAGCTTGTAAACGCTTTTTGTAGCCAGCCAAGAGTCTTTCAGTTCTTGTTTGAGGTATCTTTGCCCATTCTTCCTTACAAAATTCTTCCAGTTCTTTGAGATTTCTGGGCTGTCTGTCACGCACTGCTCTTTTAAGGTCTATCCATAGATTTTCAATTATGTTGAGGTCAGGAGATTGTGAAGGCCATGGCAAAACCTTCAGTTTACGCCTCTTGATGTAATCCCCCGTGGATTTCAAGGTGTGTTTAGGATCATTATCCATTTGTAGAAGCCATCCTCTCTTTAACTTCAGCTTTTTCACAGAGTGCATCAAGTTACCATCCAAAATTTGCTGAAATTTTATTGAATCCATTTTTCCTTCTACTCGTGAGATGTTCCCTGTGCCACTGGCTGCAGCACAACCCCAAAGCATGATTGATCCAACCCCATGCTTAACAGTTGGACAGAGGTTCTTTTCATTAAATTCTGTGCCCCTTCTTCTCCAAACGTACCTTTGCTCATTCCGGCCAAAAAGTTAAATTTTAACCTCATCGGTCCACAGAACTTGTTTCCAAAATGCATCAGACTTGTCTATATGTTCATTTGCAAAGTTCAAACGATGATTTTTGTGGTGAGGACGTAGAAGAGGTTTTCTTCTGATGACTTTTCCATGATGACCATATTTGTACAAGTATCTCTTTATAGTGGAATAGTGTACCACAACTCCAGTGTCTGCCAGATCTTTCTGGAGGGATCGTGCAGTCAAACGTGGGTTTTGAATTGTTTTTCTCACAATCCTGTGAGCTGTTCTGTCTGATATTTTTCTTGGTCTTCCAGATCTTGCTTTAACTTCCACTGTTTCTGATGACTGCCATTTCTTAATTACATTCCGAACAGAGGATATTGACATCTGAAAACGCTTTGCTATCTTCTTTTTAGCCTTCTCCAGCTTTGTGAGCGTCAACTATTTTCAGTTTCAGTTTTCTAGACAACTGCTTAGAAGAATCCATGGTGCTGATTGTTGGGGCAAGGTCAGATGAGTCTGGGCATTTCAAACCTTTGAGATTGACATCACCTGGTCTTCCCAGACGATGATTGAGAACAATCCATGACACTGGCAGGTCTCAGCTTTGCAAAGGGGGCAGTGCATGCTATAAATTCTGCAGGGTGTCCAAAGTTTTGCAGACGCCATTTATTTGTTTTCTGTTATTTTGAAAGTGTAAATGATGGAAATAAAATCTAACTTTTGTTGACATATTATAAGAATGTGTAATCTGTAATTTGATGCCCTTTGGAGATTTTTCCATCTTTCCTTGGCTTCTTTATGCACATTAATACAAATTTGTAGCTGGGGTGCCCAAACTTTCGATCCCCACTGTATATATATAGATAGATAGATAGATAGATAGATAGATAGATAGATAGATAGATAGATAGATAGATAGATAGATATAGTATAATGGTACATATAGTGAACTTGATTTTGATCTATTCACTTTCAGGGTATTAAAGAATAAGAGGGGGAACTCTTTACGCCAGGAGCAGTAGTCTTCAAACTGTGGCCCGTGAGCTGGATGCTGCCCTTTGCTTGCCTTCATCTAGCCCTTGAGCCAAAATTCCTCTCACTGAGAGTACTGATGAGACACAACCAACAGGGAGGCATAATTTATGATACTGACAGCAATGATGGGGCACTATTTGTCCCACTGACACCAACAATGGGGCACTATTCCTCCTACTAACACAAATGATGGGGCAGGCTTCCTTCCATTGAAGCCAATAGTTGGCATTATTCCCTTCACTGACAGTAGTGATGGGGCACTATTCCTCCCACTAATACCAATGGCTAATGACCACAAGGTTTATGCAATTTGTTTTACTCCTGGTGACCACCAAGCCTGAGGCATTGTTTACTCCCAGTGAGCCTGGAACATGTTCTACCCCCTCTGGCTAAGGTCCAGCCCACCTAAAGTTTAAAGGACAGTAAGATGGCCCTTTGTATTGAAAGTATGGAGACCTCTGGTCTGGAGGAAAAGAGATTTAATCTGCACATAAGAAAAGGCTTCTTCACAGTAAGAGCTTGGAAAATGCAAAATAAACTTCCTCAAGAACTAGTTCTGGCCAGTTCAGTAGATTGTTTTAAAAGTTGGATGCATTCTCTCAAATGCATATAATATAACTGGATCTTAATATTTAGCGGGGATAACACCAGGTTTAGTTGATCCAGGGAATATCTGCTTTTTACCTGGGGAATCAGGAAATAATTTTTTCCCAAGCTTCAGCAAATTGGATCATCCGTTATTGTTTTGTTATCTGCCTTCCTCTGGGTCAACTGTGTGTATAGAACTGTGTGTGGCTGTTGAAGCTCTGACCTATGAAATCCTCAGATTAGTATGGCAGCACAGCTGCAACAGCCAGCAACACACTGTGAAGATTGGGGTTGTGTTTGTAAAAGAATCTGACCTCAGCTGTGTGCAGTATGGGGAGGAACTGCTCTGATGAGTGCCCTGCCACCAGTCGCCCCAACATCTACCCTGCTGACCCTTTACCCTACTGATGATATGCTCTGCTCTGCTACCCCATCCTATGCTCTGCTGACCCTGTCCTATGCTCTGCTGATGCCATCCTATGCCCTGCTGACTCCACATTCTGCCCTGTTGGCCCCATCCTATGTCCATTTGACCCCATCTTCTCCCCCACTGACCCCATCTTCTGACCTGTTAACCCCATCCTCTGCCCCATTGACCCCATCCTAGCCCCCTTGACCTCTGCCCCTTTGACCTCATCCTCTGCCTTGTTGTCCCTGTCCTCTTCCCTGCTGACCACTGTCCTATGTCCTGCTGACTCCATCTTATGCACCACTAATCCCATCCTTGACCCCACAGACCCTTGTTCGCTATCCTGGCCACCCTGTCCTCTCACCCACTAACCCTGTCCTCTTCCTCGTTGACCCTGTCCTCTGCCCTGGTGACCCTGTCCTATGTTCCATTAACCCCTGTCCTCTACCCTGCTGCTGACACCATTCTCTTCCCTTCTGACCCCATCCTATGCCCTTCGGACCCCATCCACTTCCCTGCTGACCCCTGTCTTCCACCCAGATGACCCCTGTCCTATGTCCTGCTGACCCTTGTACACTGCCCTACTGACACAATCCTTTGCACCGGTAAGCCTTGTACACTGCCCTGCTGACCTGTTTAAACTGCCCTGCTAACCCCCTGTCCTCTGCCATACTGACCCCTGTCTTCTGCACTGCTAACCCCTGCTGACCACCCTATTGAACTCTGTTCTCCACCCTACAGGCTCCTGTCCTCTGCTTTGTTGACCCACGTACACTCCCATGCCGACTTCCCATTCTCTGCCCCGCTAGCTTCTCTACACTGCCCTGTAAACTGCTGACCCTATCCTCTGCCCTGCTGACCACCAATCCTCTGCCCCTTGATATTTTTTACTGCACCCTCACATCAGAAAGGCTAGATCTGCTCATGGTGCTGAGTCGAATGTACCAAGCTGCCTCCTCTCATTTTGCACCAGTAATTAACCAGCCATTTTGAATTGTTACTTTAGAGATGCAGGGATTGGGACTAATCTGAGGTGGGAAGATGCAGAAATTTGGATGATATTAGGGGTGAAGTTGAAGGAATTGGGGTGATTTGAGTTGCGATGGTGCAGGAAATGGGGTGAACTGATGTGTGAAGGTGGAGGAATTGGGGTGACTGGAGGAGTGAAGGTGCAGGAATTGGAGGGATCTGAAGTGGCAAGGTGCAGGAATTGGGGCAGCTTTGACATGTGAAGGTGCAGGAATTGGGGCTGATCTGAGGGGTGAACATGCAGGAAGTGATCTAAGGTGTGAAATTGTAGGAATAAAGGCTGATCTGAGATGTGAAGGCACAGGAATTGGAGTGAACTGGGGTGTGAAGGTGCAGGACATGGGGGTGAACTGAAGTGTGAAGGTGCAAGAATTGGGATGATCTGAGGTGTGAAGGTTCAGGAAATGAGTGATTTGAGGCATGAAGATGCAGGAATTAGGTTGAACTGAGGTGTGAAGGTGCAGGAATTGGGGCTGATTTAAGGTGTGAAGGTGCAGGAATTGGAAATTGATAATAGGGGTACTGAAGTGTGAAGTGCAGGAATTGGGGCTGATCTGAGGTGTGACGATTCAGGAAATGGGGGTAAACTGAGGTGTGAAGGTGCAGGAATTGGGGTGATCTGAGGGGTAAATGTGCAGGAATTGGGGTGATCTGAGGTGTGAAGGTGAGGGAATTTGGGTAATCTGAGGTGTGAAGGTGAAGGTACCTGTACCCAGTCTACATTTTTATTCTGGAATAAAGCATTACCTACTACACTATGGGCACTCCCTCTTTGTTTTAACCCTCTATTGAGGGTTTCAGATTCACAGCAGCATTTTTTATCCAGAGGAAAGAATCCATCTACCCAGGCTGTTCATCCGACATTAAGGAGACCTCTGAGCCCTGCTGTATACCACTTCACCCAAGTTGGATGATCCATATTCTAGAGGGATGTCCTGCTATCTATCCG